TGCATGGGGTCGCTATGAGTCGGTTCCGATTCGATGGCACCTGACAACAACAACAACTTGGACTTGTTGTCAGGAAGGGCCAGTTCCTGAAGAAGGACATCATGCTTGGTAAAGTGGAGGGTCATCAAAAAAGACGAAGATCCTCAATGAGATGGACTGACACAGTGACTGCAACAATGGGTTCAAACAATCGTGAGGATGGCACAAGGCCAAGCAATATTTTGCAACTCGATGGCACCTAGCAACAACAATATGGAACATGACCATGATCTTATCCTGTTTCCCATGTAGAAGAGGGAAGAATAGGTTAGGAAAGCTTCCTGGTTCTAGTGCTATCTCTTCTGCTGTTAACATGAAGTATTAAAAATATGGCCTTCCGAGATATGCTTCCTCTGCTCCCTTTCCCCATTTTTATCTAACCATTTCTTTCCTTGACTTCTTGTATGTCTGTTTTCTCACTCTAGATTCTATTCTCAGTCATTATCTCCTCAGAGTGGAACTCTATTCTAAAAGAGATTTAGTTGATAGGTAGTAGGAGTTCACCAGGCCATCACAGTACCATTCAATTTTTCTGTTTCCATCACTTCCACCTATAAATTACAGTTAGGAAAGCCCTCTCCCAGTTTCTGTTAGTTTTCTCAAATTAGCCCATGAACTTTCCATGTTGAGAAAGGACCCCCTCCCTTCTTGCAATTTGGTTTTTAGAAGTTCCTTACCTGCCCTTTGTTCCCTTCCTCACAATTGTTGATACTATACTAGTCTTGTTGCTGTCTGGGGTTTGACTCAATTTATCTGTATTTTTCAGGTTTATGGTGTGGCACTGTGGGTTAATGTGCCAGAATGCAAAACCATTTGAACTGCAAGGTCAGTGGTTCAAGCTCACCAGCTACTCCTCAGAAACCAACTCGACGGTACTTAACAACAACAACATAGTCCATGAGATTTGGGTTTTGCTATCCTACCTGCTCTGTTTTTATGAAGGAAATTTAGAGTTTGAAAAACTACCCGACCACTGACCACAACTTTTCCTTAATTACTCTGTCAGCATAGGCATCCCCTCCCCCACAACCCAAGCCCATATTATTCTTTAACTACTGTTTTCTTGATAGTATTTGTTTTTCATTTGGGCATCCCCTCTAATCTTCCAATTTCAATGTAATCTCTATAAAAGCAGAAATTCCATTTTACTTACTACTATAACTTTTAAACAACAAGGATGGCAGTTCAAACCCATCAGCTGCTCCTTGGAAACCCTATGAGTCAGAATCAACTTGACCACACTTAACAACAGCCACAAATAACCCATATAGAGTCCTGGTGTGGTACTGCAGGATAATGTACTGGGTTGAACAGCAAGGTCAGCACTTAAAACCCACCAGTGACTCCTCTGAAACCTTTGACAGGTTTGAGTTGGTTTGAGTCAGAACCAACTTGACAGCACTTACCAACAACATAACCTGTAAAGCATCCAGTATAGAGGCTTCCACAGCAAGAACTCAACAATACAAATGAATGAATAATGAATAAATAACTATGTGAATAGACAATACTGCTAAACCAGATCTGTAGAAAATAAACGTCTCCTTACCTTTTCAATATCCTTAGCATACAGTATTTCATACACTAAAAAGATCATTTATTTTAATTTGCATTAAAAGTTACCTGGATTATTTTACTTTAATCTTTAAGGCAATTAACTTAATTTTTATGTTCAGAAAATATATTATTCACATAAATAAAAAGATATAATTCATATATTTTTAAGAAACTAGGCAATGATTTATACTTACTAATTTTAGTATGCTGTTTCATAGACTTTACCAAAAACATAAAGAGTAGATTCTAACTAACCTTGTATTTCTCACGTTTTCTTCGTTTGGACTTTTTTTTCTCTTTTTCTTTCTTGTGTTTTTTTCTTGATTTTTTGTAGCCTTTTTCATTTTTCTGTTTTTCATCTTCTTTTGCTTCCTGTTCTTGCGTCTCTTCAAATCCTGCATCATCTATTTCACCATCTTCTAATTCGCCATCTTCTCTGTAGAAAGCAAGTAAATTTTAATTTTCAAATGTCAATTATAAAACAAATGCAACAGAAATGTTTTCAAAAGAAAAGAGTCTATTGTAAAGAATTTAAGGTAAATACTTGTATTATTTAGATTAGAGGTTGGCAAACTTTCTATAAAGGGTCAGATCATAATAAATATTTTATATTTGCAGACCACATATAGCTTCTATTGAAATTTCTTTCTTTTCTTTTTACAACCTTTTAAAAATTTCTGGTAAGAAACATTCTCAGCAGCCAACGTTTTCCAATTTTCTGTTTAGATTAAGATCACTGACTTTCACAAAATGAATGAATAAATATATGTAGTGCTGTCCTGAGTATTTCAATCATTATTAACTACAAACTTCCTTAAAAATAGTGTCTTTGATATTAGGAGACAGAATTCTAGAAATGAGCTGATTTTAATATTGATAACATTTCATGGAGTCCTGGTATGGGCTTTGGGATAAAAGCATTGGACCACAAGGCCAGTTTGAACCACAACACTGGCAGTTCAGACACACGAGGTGCTCCTCAGAACTGACTCGACAGCACTTAACAACAATAACATTTTATAGTTACAGAAGCCAAAGTGTTGATTAATAGTATTTCATGCAAATAAACCAGCTGATACACTGGGATAATAATAATAATAAAAACCTTAAGTGGTTCCCTTCTGACATGAAGATAATTACAAACTCAACACTGCTGAAAACCAAACCAAACCGAAAGTCATCGAGTGGATTCTGATTCACTGCGACCCCATCTATGGTTTCCGAGGCTGTAAATGTTTATGGGAGCAGAAATCTTCCTCTTTTTCCCGTGGAGTAGCAGCTGCTAGATTCTAACTGTTGACCTTGTGATTAGCAACCCAATGAGTAACCCACTAATACCACAGGGCTCCAAACATTGCCAAAGGCCCCAAATGAGTTCATGCTTACTATTTTCTCCAAGACTAAAAAACTCTTATAATCCTACTCCCCTCAATACCCATGCCCCAGTTCCTGCAGCTAGTTTAGCAATCAAAGTTCTCTCTAACCCTGTTCACTGTACCACTTTTACAAAACACTCCAGGCTTCTTGACATCATCTACTTCGTACACCAAATGTGTGATGTCAACCAATTCGACATTTAACACACATGTTGAATGCTGTTATTTCAGCTTCCCTTCCCTGGTCAGTTCAGAGTCCAGCTCTCCTGCAGCCCTTTTCCTTCATCCTCATTCACGCTGGACTAGGTAAGCAGGCACAAGCCTCTTCTCCATTTCATAGATCTGATTAATTCATTGGAATGACTCACAAATCCCAGGGAAGAAGGTACTTTAATCTATCAGGAAAAAAAAAGGATACAAACACATAGGCCAAGATCTGGGAGGGGTCTCAGAAACTGAGGTTTCATGTTCCTAATAGACACACCTACCCTCCTGAAAGTTCTTTCCACTCAGGAAGTTCTATTGAGCCTACATACACATGGAGCTCACCAGACAGAATACACAGAAATCAAATTGACTACAACTGTGAAAGAGACTGTGGAAAAGTTCCTGGCCAAAACAAGGCCAGGGGCAGACTGTGGAACAGACCATCAACTGCTCATAAGCAAATTCAAACTGAAATTGAAGAAAATAAAAACAAGTCTATGAGAGCCAAAATATGACCTTGAATAAATCTCACCTGAATTTAGAGTTGATCTGAAGAACACATTTGACACATTAGACTCTAAAGAGTGAAGACCAGAAGAGTTGTGGGATGACATCAAGAACATCATACAGGAATAAAGTAAAAAG